TGTTGCATCTTGTTTCTGATTTAAACTTTGGTAAAGCCTCTTCTTTATATCAGAATGTTGTCATCAAGGATTAGCATACAGCATCTGGTTGGACTGTCACAGCAGGGTAGATCCATGATGTACACGTTGAAAAGGACTGGTGAGATTGGTGATCTATGAGGCAGACCATTGTTGATGATGATCCAATCTAGTTTCCAGTTTCTGTACTTCATGATACATCTTCCAGTTGTTAATGCAGCTACAACCCAACCTTTTCAGAATATAGCACAAATAATATAGCAGGACTTAAAACAAAGCATTCATAGGCCTTTAGCCATTTAATCCCCAGGATAATCTTGTGTAGGCTTCAATAAGATCACCTCTTACCTTTGTTTTTTCTCAAGAGAAAATAAGTTAAGAGATCTTAACCTGTTGCCATAAGATAACTATTTCATCAATGGAATCATCTTATCTCTCCTTTGGACCCTTTCTAATAAGACAATATTCTTCCTTGGCTAGGAAGACCAACACTGTTCACAGTATTCCGAAATGAGACCTAGCTATTGATTTGTGTATTGAGATAATTACCTCTTTTAACTTTAAATCATTATGTTTATAAATACATCCTAAAATTCTATCAGCATTGTTACCAGCAACAAAGTACTGCCTCAATGGCTTTATCATCTACTATGTTCTCCTTAATATCTTAAGTGAGCCAGTTACATTTCATCTTCCTTGTTATCCTTTTTCTCGTTTTTAGGGATATGTCTATCTTAAATTAAAAGCTCTTGTTTATTTTTTTAAATTACTAAATCTGTACCACATCACCTTTTAATTCATCATCCCAGTTCACTAATGATAAATCTTGTCTCAAAACCGCAAAAGGGACTTTCTGAATGTTAGGAACTAAAATTTCATTTTTTCTTATCTCAACATGTAGTAAGACATCAAACCTAATTATGCAGTGAACACTTTAAACAATATTTCCCCAACTCCAACTCTTGCAACCATGTCCTATTAGTGGTTAACAATAAATCTAAGATTACATGTTCTCTGGTTGGATCTGAAATCATTTGGTATAGAGAACCATCTTGAATAACTTTGAGGAACCCTTCTCCCCAGCTACTTGTCTCCATACCTTAATCAGTGTGTTTAAAATCAAAGTCGCCTATAATGATTGCATATTAATTTCAACTCTGATTTCTGTACAATTTCCCATTGACATCATCTGCTGATCTGGTGAGTTATAACAGCTTCAAGTTAAAAACTTTATACCTTTATAACCTCTGACTATAACCCATATATATTCTACTGCTTAACTAACAGCTACTATGCCCCTTTATAACCTCTGATTATAACCCATGTATATTCTACTGCTTGACTAATAGCTACTCCACCCCCTTTATAACCTCTGATTATAACCCATATATATTCTACCGCTTGACTTACAGCTACTCTACCCCCTTTATAACCTCTGATTATAACCCATATATATTCTACTACTTGACTAGTAGCTACTCCATCCCCATTTATATTTTCTGATTATAATTCATATATATTCTACTGCTTGACTAATAGCTACTCCACCCCACCCCCCGTATATTCTCTGATTATAACGCATATATATTCTAATGCTTGAGTAATAGCTACTCCAGCCCGCCTTATAACCCATATATATTCTACTGCTTGACTAATAGCTACTCAATCCCCTTTTATAAACTCTGATTATAACCCCTTTATCTTCTACTGCTTAATTAACAGCTACTCCATCCCCCTTTATAACCTCTGATTATAACCCATATATATTCTAATGCTTGACTAATAGCTACTCCATCCCCCTGTATAACCTCTGATTATAACCCATGTATATTCTACTGCTTAATTAACAGCTACTCCAACCCTTTATAACTTCTGATTATAACCCATATATATTCTACAACTTAACTAATAGCTACTCCACCCCGTTTATAATCTCTGATTATAACCCATATATATTCTATTGCTTGACTACTAGCTACTCCATCCCCCCTTTATAACTTCTGATTAATAACCCATATATATTCTACTATTTTACTAATAGCTACTCCATCCTCCTTTATAACCTCTGATTATAACCCATATTTATTCTGCCGCTTGACTAACAGCTACTCCACCCCCTTTATAATCTCTGAATATAACCCATATATATTCTACTGCTTAACTAACAGCTACTCCACCCCACCACCTTATAATCTCTGATTATAACCCACATATATTATAATGCTTGACTAATAGCTACTCCTCCCACCTTTATAACCTCTGATTAGAACCCATATATATTCTACTGCTTAACTAACATCTACTCCACCACTTATAAATCTCTGATTATAACCCATATATATTATACCACTTGACTAACAGCTACTCCACCCCTTTTTATAATCTCTGATTATAACCCATATATATTCTACTGCTTGACTAGTAGGTATACCATCCCCCTTTATAACTCCTGATTATAACCCATATATATTCTACTTGTTCACTAATAGCTACTCCAGCCAGCCTTATAACCTCTGATTATAACCCATATATATTCCACTGCTTGACTAATAGCTACTCGAACCCCCCTTATAACCTCTGATTATAACCCATATATGTTCTACCGCTTGACTTACAGCTACTCAACCCCCTTTATAACCTCTGATTATAACCCATATATATTCTAATGCTTGACTAATAGTTACTCCACCCATTTTATAACCTTTGATTATAACCCATATATATATTCTACCGCTTAACTAATAGCTACTTAACCCCCCTTTATAACCTCTGATTATAACCCATATATATTCTAATGCTTGACTAATAGTTACTCCACCCATTTTATAACCTTTGATTATAACCCATATATATATTCTACCGTTTGACTAACAGCTACTCCACCCTCCCTTTTAATCTCTGATTATAACCCATTAATATTCTACTGTTTGACTAACAGCTACTCCATCCCACTTTATAACCTCTGATTATAACCCATATATATATATTCTACAGCTTAACTAACAGTTACTCCAACCCTTTATAACCTCTGATTATAACCCATATAGATTCTAACTTTTGATTAACAGCTACTCCATCCCCCTTCTTTTAGAGTACCATTATCAAACAATTTTAATTTGAAATTTCTTAATAATTCATATTTTAGTATTCCTCATATCTAATCAATTATCAGTAAATCCTATTATATCACAGTCTTCCATTTCAGTTTGGATCCTGAAATCTTCCATTTTGTTACTGATACTTCTAACATTACAGTAACAGCAACTAAGCTTATCCTTAAATCTAATGGATTTTAAGAGTACTGCTAAACATATAATATTCTAAATATTTTTCCAATCTCCTCATTACCCTATATATCCTGTAATATTAATCAGTTTATTTCCAAACTCCATCATCAATGTGCAAGTTTAGTTTAAATTATATTCGTACCTGATAATCAAAAATATGTATATAATTGATACTTGAAACTGTCGGTACTTGGTGGAACTTTGTAATCACTGAATTGAGGAAAAACAAAAGAATTGTACATTTTGTAAATACTTGATTAATTATCGGGTACAGACTGAAATGTTTTGTAGCAGGTTTTATATGTATGTTGAAACAAAGAACTGGAAGTGACCTTGACATTCACCTAGAGTCAAGTGGGGTAAGAATTGGGGAGGAACTTAAGTTGGTTTGATTTTTTAGAACTTTTTCTGGATTTATTTTTAAGACATCTATTTATTTCTAAATTTCTAAAAACAAACTTATAGTGACACCATCATACATGCTTCTTCAAGACATCCAATATTTCACAAACTTGCCATGTTCCATAGTTTGTTACACAGACTTATCACTGTACCCTTGTCATCTGAAGATTATGAAACTGAATTTTCAACTATAAAACAAATTTTTGTTAACAATGGTTATACAACAAAGTTAATTAACAATTTGGTGTTTAAAAAATTGACAGCCATAAATTTAAAATCAATATATCCACATATTGTACCAAATTACAGCTAAAAGAGAATGAAATGGTTTAAGATGATCTACATTGGAAAACTTTCTCACAAAATATATAACGCACTGAACAAAGAAATCTACATACTGTTCTTCTACTGTAAAAACAAACTAGGAAAAATGTTGTGCAACAACAAAGAAAGAATTGAAAAGTACAGCAACAGTGGTGTTTACCAATTAATGCGTCAAGACTGCAATAGTGTATATATAGGTCAAACAGGACGTTCCATAGAAACGAGAATTAAAGAACATTCTATAAGCTGGAAATTAAGGAAAATGGATTCAACCTTTGCATCCCACCTTATTGAAACTAAACACCAATTTGATCCAGAAAAAAAAATTCAAAATTTTACATAACTGGGAAAAAGTAATAAAACCAGACAGTCGGGAAATTTTAGAAATAAATAGATGTCTTAAAAATAAATCCAGAAAAAGTTCTAAAGAACCAAACCAACTTAAGCTCATCTCCAATCTACTTTACTCTAGGTAAATGTCAAGATCACTTCTGGTTCTTTGTTTCAACATATATATAAACCCTGCTATAAAACATTTCAGCCTGTACCTGATGATGTCTTTATTAGTGAAACTATGGTCGTAATTAATGAAGTATTTACAAAATGTACAATTGTTTTGTTTTTTCTCAATTCTGTAAAAATACGTATAATAAATAAGAGAAAAATAATAAGTATGTATATATATGTTAATTGTTTGTCCATAACAGATCAAGATGTTGCCATATATTGATAAACTATAATTTCAAAACTATCAGTTTTTATACAATTTTATACTTTCAACAGTACTTAATTGACTATTAGAAATAATATAAAAATATAATTTAAGATCCTTAATGCTGAAGAGTGTTAAGTTTTTCCATTTTGTTAATGCTAGTTCTTTGTATAGATTCATTATATTCTGTAGTATGTGCAGTACTTTTGAATAAAGCTACAGTAATTATGATTTATGTCTTTGTTGTTATTTTTTAGAAATTGGCATTGGTCTAACAGGATTTGGTGTTGCTTTTCTCTTTCTGGGGGTAATATTTGTTTTTAATAAAGGACTTTTGGCCATTGGAAACGTAAGTCAAGTCATAATGAAAATAAAATAGTGATAGAGAGAGAGAAATTAGTGGTATTTAAACACCAAGAATTATGATGATAAAAAAACTTAAGACCAAATCTTTAATTGAATGATAACTGTAGTGTTTCAAATCTTCAAAGGAATTTTTCACAAGACTTTAAATGGTTACAAAATTTTAATTTTTAAAGTTTTTTGTATTTAATCTTTATACACCTTGTTTTGTTATGTCCAAGTTTAGATGTGCCAGTGTATCAGTCAGTTTTTCTGTGTGATTATTAAATTCAGATCCTTTTGTATAAACATACATATATATTGTTGGTTTTTGTAATGCTTTTCTTTTCTTCATTTCCGTCTTTGTTTTGTTTTTATGTATGGTAAAGTATGTTTATGTTAGTCTGTTTTTTTACATATAGTTTAGTATGTTTACGTAATCTCTGTTTGTTTTTTTGCGTGTAGTTAAGTATGTGTACGTTAGTCTGTTCTTTTACATATAATTCAGTATGTTTACATTAGTCTGTTGTTGTTTTTACATATAGTTAAGTATATTTACATTAATCTGCTTTTGTTTTGTTTTTACATATAGTTTTGTATATTTATGTTAGTTTCTGTTTTGTTACATATAGTTAAGTATGTTTAAGATAATCTTTTTTTTACATATAGTTAAGTATGTTTACATTAGTCTCTTCTTTTTTTACATATAGTATAGTATGTTTACGTTAGTCTGTTTTTTATGTATAGTTACATATGTTTACGTTAGTCTGTTTTTATGTGTAGTTACGTATGTCTACGTTAGTCTCTGATGTTTTTTTTTTACATACAGTTTGGTATGTTTATGCTAGTCTCTGTTTGTTTATTTTTTAATTTCGTAGGTGGATGAGAGAGTGAGTGTGTATTTAGTTTTCCAATTGTATTCTGAATTTATGTATTCCTGTCAGTTGAATGTTATGCTTTGCTATTTTAGTGTTGTTCGATAGTACTCATATTAATTCTCTCTCTGTTGTGATGATGCCTCTTTGTTATTTTGTCCTGTTGATCGTTGAACTGTCGTTTTCTCACTGACTTTGAGAGTTCTACATTTGTTATCTGGTTATTAATCTTTTTATTCATTTGTGCCCCATATTACTTTTAATTATATCATTCTATTACTATGGCAAGTTATCACTTAGTAGTATTTTTCTGTTTTTTTTTCTTGATTGAATAATAAAACAGTTTCGTATATTATTTATACATGTTAAGCATAGGATTACATAACCTAACAGTTTGTTATATCTCTTTTCTTTCTCAGTTCGTACAAGCCTAAATTTTTTATGTTGGGACTGTGTGCATATGAGGCTTCAGCTCATTTTTTTTTCTTTACATATTTTAATTCTTCTACTTCAATCAGGATTATAATATAAAGATTTTGATAAAGTTGTTGTGTTAATAGAATCTTTTATGTGATGTACATGTACATTGTATGAAGTCCTAATTACTAATGAAGTTCTTTTTATTTTCTACTCCTACAAGACTTTCTTGCAAAGAGTAATTAAGTAAGTCCTACCATCTTATGATATTTTTCTTTTCTTTTCTTTAGATATTGTTCCTTTCTGGAATTGCTTTTGTTATTGGCTATGAAAGAACATTCCGATTTTTCTTTCAACAACATAAACTAAAAGGAACTGTGGCCTTTTTTGGGGGAATATTTTTAGTATTATTTGGTTGGCCCCTTGTAGGAATATTAATAGAAACCTATGGATTCATTTTGCTTTTCAGGTATGTATTGTATTAATTTCTGGTTAGTCATTTTTCGAGGTGTAGCGCAGGAAGTAATAAGCAGATTTATGTTGACATATGATAAGCAATTTTCAAAGACATACAAGATATATTTCAAAAGCAACAACATCTTGTTTTTTCACTTTATTTAAGTAATGTTAACATGTTAATCTGAGCACACTTTTTGTTCTCACTTGATAATTTTAAGTTTGGCTAATTTTTATCAAAACATTTATCTGACTTCATGCAAAACCCTCAACTACTTTTAAGATAGTGTTATGTAGTGAATGTTTTGTCCCATTTGACTTATAAGCAAGAAATAATAAGTTAAAGAACTTATGAGTAAAAAAATATAAATAAGGATGTGCTATAATATGTCAACCACCCTACATTTGCCTTATCCAGTACTGATGAAGCCTTTTGTGCAATATTAAGGTTCATTGGGTCACCTGTGATATGACAGATATAATAGTGGTCTAGGTAATACTCATATCATCAGTTTTCTTCAGAGTAGACAACACCTACTCTAAAAGTATATATACTGTAAGATTCTCAGCTTTCTTAAGCTTGTCAGAGATATTCTGCTCATCTCTTTTTTCTCTTTTCTCAAGTCTTTAAAAATGCGAAACTCATCGTCTTTATTTATTACTTTATAAAAGTCCATTATAATAGGATTATATGTTTTAAATTGGCTTGTATAACCTGTTTAACCCCAACTGGACGGGTCATGTGTCAAAAGCCATGTCATCACGTTGACTGGCATTCAAACTTTTATTGAACTATTATTTTATGAATCTATGTCAATAAGTTTGGTATAAAATTGTAGATTATAATTCAAATTTTAGTATTACATGTTAGTTAATTTATTAATTTAAAAGTAAATATTAAAAAACACAGCTAAACATCGATTTTTGTGTGTCACGTGGTATGTTGAATGGAACACTGGTTCAGATTAGATGTTTGTGATGTCAAAATACAAAATATATAGTTTAGTACAAATTAGGAACTCAAACTACCATTATTGACAAGCTAAATATAAAATAAGAATATCTTATCTTTTCTATTTGCTAAGATATTGCTCCTGTACTGAATCTAACACAATACTGAATCTAACACTGTATTATACAAAATACTAGTCCACTAAAACACAGCCAAGACAGGTCACTTTGTAAAGACTAAAGGTCAGTTATATATTATTGGATATGGTAACATGAGAGCACATGCACCTCATCATTGTAACTTCTGTATTGTCAGCCAGGCACGGCTGGAAGGTCAATATAATAAATATATATAAATATATAACGTTATGAGATTGAAACTATTTAAACTAAAAATTTGTGTTTTTGTGTTACAATTTGTTGTCATTCTAGAACAAAAAGATAATAATTTATAGATTTTTTTCTTAATTTTTAAATGAGGTTACAAAGTCAGTAATATCGAACCAACCCTTACAGAAATACACTAGTGAAAATAACAAGTAAAATATAGTTTTTGTTTACAAAAAATTGATATTATCTGTAGATTATAAAGATTTTGCATGTGATATTTGAAAATGTTCTAATGCATTAAAGTATTTTTAATCTTAAAATCAAAATTGCTTTGCATGTTGGATAGTCAACATTATGAAAGAATAAGGTTTACGAGAAAATCTTTAATTAAAAAATCTTAATACTTAATTTAAAAACCTGATATTTTGTGTATGAAAACCTTGTAATGTTTACCAATAACCTGCAAAATTTTGTAAAGATATATATACATTATCAAAAATCATAGCATAATTACTTTCATGGTTACGAGCTGGGTGGTTTCCATCCAGCCCGTAATGGAAGGGTTAAGTTTACATTAGTAGTTACCACTTACACAACACACTTTCTCTACACACAGAAAAATCCTTTCTACTTCAGCATGTAACTATGGCATTATGATTCACATCATAATACACGATACCTGAAAAGAAGAAACTTGAGTGACATTTTTCTTTATGTATATATTACATGTAGACATAAAGTCTCACATAATACATACATTCGTGTTTCAGTCTAGTTTCTTATTTGGCCATCTGTACTAGTGAATATGGTTATTAAACGTGTGTTGTTTTTTTGTTTGTTTGCTAGTAGCATTTAGGTTTTTGTTATATGTACTAGTTCTCATGTGTTTAAAGTTAGTTTTGTAAAAGTGCCAAATTTACTCTTAAATGCAATGAGATACAATTCTATGAAATCATGGAACTTCTGTATTGGTCATAGTTTCCTCATAATTCACTTGCTTACTACAGATGGTTAATCCCATAATAAGAATGATGTTCTGAGTTCCATGCTGCCTTTGGAAATACATTGTGTGGAATCTGATAGATGGCCATAAATATGCATTAGTGCCTAACAATCTAGTTTCAATTGTAGCAAACTTCTGTAAAGCATGGTGAGGTCAGTTTTAGACAATTTGTCTTAACAGACATTTGAAAGACCCTTCATCATAGAGGGACATAAGCTTCCAAGGCCACATCTAACACACAATAAAATAAAATAAAATCTAAGGACAACAAGGGACCTATTAGTCCATTTAAGCTGTCCCATTCATGAAAAAAGACATGCTCAAAAACCCATTCCAAAAGCCAAATCATCCTGGTAGAAAAATAAAACTGTCTTAACTGAAACTTACTCCAACTTTGCCATTTGCATTCCCTCGTCCTACCATTCTCACCATTATATATGAAAAAATATAATGCATCAACTCTGTCAGTTTTCTTGAACATCTCAATCAGATATACTCTTTTTTTTTTTTTAAGGAGAAAACCTTTCCATTCCAAGTATTGTCATAGTAGCTCTCCTTCGAACCCTTTCCAACAATTCAATGTCCTTCCTAAGGTAAGAAGCAAACCAAATGCACAAAAGTTTATAAATGTGCATTCAGGTGGCTTCTGTACATGTACACTGAAAATAATTCTGTAGACTTCGCAGTTTATCCTGATGTAGCCATATCCTCTTGGAATCCTGATCACACAGTGCAGAAATTTAACTTTGCATAAATCATTTTCTCCTGACAGTAACTAGAATTCATCCTCTGCTTTATTGTGTACTTCATGAAGTTTACATTTCTTGTTGCAAGAAAAACCTGCAGCAGTGATAAGTTCTAATCTCTTTACATTTGGTTTTCCATGTTTAAAAGCTCTTATCACCTCATGGTCATTAGCAAATTGCCTGTTTATTATTGTAGTTATTCACTACACACACAATAAAATCTTGTCCGGTGTTGGATAAACATCTATTTATGTGCAAAGTATTTTGTACAGTTTGTCTTTCTTTCACCATTTTCTCTGTTGCTTTCTTTATAGCAGCAGTGTTTGCATGTGGTGGGAAGATGTTCTATTATGGATATGCTGATCATCCATTGCCAAAGCCATTCACTGTTATAAATGTTCTTTGAAATTGGTGTTTCTTAGGCTTTGAATCTCTTGACTCTCTTCTTATCTAAGAACAGCCTGTAATATATACGTAGCCATGAAACTCTTTGTGGTGACATTGTTCATGAATTCATTATTAGCCAAATGTACAAGTTTGTAACGTGTGACTTGTATAATATAGTTTACTTCTGTGGCAACATGGCACTGCATTAAAATGTGTAATTAATTTTACATAAAATCAACCAGTATTGATTTGATGAAATTGTTTTGTAGATTATAATTTGTCTTTAGGCATCATAAAATAAACTATGTGAAAAGAAGTATACCTAATACATTATGTTCCTTTATTAGGATCACTCATTCTACATGTACTGTGAATATATATGAATAAATAATAGTTTCATTAGTCCATTGGAGAAATAGAAGTTTGTTATTAAAGTTTTCAACATAATTTTATGATGTGCACATGTGAATATTTTAGTATTACTCTTAATATTGTTACATTACCTGGTCTCCTATGTTTTTATTTTATAAATGTATTTCTTTACTCTGTATATTACTGCATACAAACAAGCTGTACTTGTGCAGGGACCCTGAAAGTGTTCTGTTTCAAGAGTAAATAAAACAAAACTAGGAGTAGCAAATATTTGTATTTCTTGCTTTTGAAGTTTATTTGTTATGGTTTGTTTTAACTCCATAATTCTTCTCATGATTCATGGTATGTGCACATCTTACTGAAGTCACGGCAGTACTAATTGTAAAGTTAGGTTTCCTTGTGTGACTCATTTTTGTGTCTACTCACTAACTGACAAACAACACACTACTGTATAGTGGTGTGAGTGGTTAAAACAGGTGACCCCTTCAGGCAGCCTTTGGCCCCTTTTTCGGGAAATAACTTAAAGAAATGTGTAAAATACATGAAAATGAGTTTATACTTCATGTGAAATTACAATTTAATATAGAGAATAAACCACATTTGTTAAAAAAAAGGAAACATCTTACCAGATGTGAAGTACATGTTGAATTATTAATAAAGAACAATTTTTTACTTCTTTATTTTGTAGTGGCTTCTTCCCAGTGGCATTAAATTTCTTGCAGAGAATTCCTGTTTTGGGGGCTTTACTCTCTTTACCGTACATAAGCAAGGTATGTGTAAGACATTTCTCATTTAAGGATAGTAAGATTTAAAAAAATCATAACAGAAAAAATGTATAACAATAAAATTTAATTTGCTTCCAAAAGTGATAAATCCTATTCCACCATTAGCTAGCTTAACAGATACTTACAAAACTATGTTTTCCAAAATGATACCTCACCTTTCACACAGAGTAAATTTTTTCCTCTTGAGCTCATGCATTCTGCAAAAGAGATTTCGAACAGCATTGGATGATGACATCATCATGAAGCACAAACCCTCCACCAATAGGAGTATGACACATTTCCTTGTGCAATGACTCCCTCTACATTCAAGTTTGGGAATCCTTATTCTCTTCCTTGGCACTGTGTTGCACAGATGTATTTTGAGTTTTCTGAGATTTTTAATGTTTTTTCAAAGTTTTTTGGAATTTTTCAAATTTCAATTTTTACCTGATTGAGTTTATTGAATTAAACATGAACTGACAATTTAATATGAATATTTCTAAAGCTGATGTGAGGGAATAATCTCCTCAAACAGAATAAATTAATACCATTTTGGCTGGAAGTTCTTTTGAGGTGGAAGACGTAATGGCCATCTTCCATCGTGTGGAAGGGTCATTATGCAGCCAGTATCCTCTGCACCTGTCCATTTCATTCACTTTTCTGTTCCAATTTTGTACCTGGAACTAATGAGGATGAATTTGAGCACCAACTTCCACTTTCAGGTTTGTATTGTGTACTACTGTACCTAATGTACCTCAGACTCCCTTTGACTTCTTCACCTTATTTTTCTCATGTATGTACAATTATTTCTCTTACTCCATTTTATTTTGATGCTTCCTGTTTGTTTTTGCATAAGCCTTTCCTTGTGATTTCTTTATATTTTCTCCCTCTCTTATTATATTGGTACATGCTAATTCTTTATGGCTGACCTTCTCTATCACAGTTTTATGCTTTGTTCTCCTTTTTAATCATTTGCATTTCCTTTTCATGGACTCCCAGTCTTAGGAGTCATCTTTGATAGTTTGAAGGGTCGGATTCGTTGCCTGCTATTTCCCTTTCTAAACTTCGTTTTTCCATCCTTTAAATTTTTTACTCCCCTTCCTCAGTGCCTCTCCCTTCACTTTATGTCCATTGCCCTGCTGTTGTCTCCTCGTGACCTTTCTTGGGAACTTAGATCTTTCTTTTGTTTTGCTCTTGTGGCCCATTCCATCTCCTTTACCATTTGTTTTCTACTCTAGTTCCTCTGTTCTTGGAATCTTTTGGAAATGGTACACTTCTATCTCAAGTCTGTCTCCTTTCCACCTTTCTTTAGGACCTTCGTTTTGCCCTTTCTCTTCATCTATATAAATTTGGTGGTGTTCCTGATTTTCTGGTCTCCCAGGCTTCAACTGCTAACTGTTAAAGTTCCTTCACATCTTTGAGTTTCCTGATTCTCCAAACCTCAACCCACCAGTTCTGTATCTTGTCCTGGCCTTTCTTTCACTCCATGTCCTTTATTCTGTATACCATCCATTCTTCATTTATTGTCCCACTTCCATCTGTTGTCTTACTTGCCGACCCAATTGTTGGTGGTCGCCCGGTCTTTTTCTATCTTCCCCTTTGGTCCCCACCAGCTCTCTTTCACTTCCCATGTGATCCTGCTTACCTTCAACATCTTGGAGACAATGTTGAAATTGTGGAAGTATTAACCCATCCTGTGGGTTCACAGCCCTCTCTTGATTTCTCTCCTACCTTTCTGTTCTCACCGTGAAGATTGGAGACTAGTATCTGATTATTGACCACTCTTCCCTCTATTGTTCCTTAGTCATCACATAATGTCAGATTGTGAATTTCTCTCACTGTTGGTGATTTCAGCCTGTGGATGACTATGGTCTATGTTTCAGATGCATTTCTCCACATTCCAATCACCCCATTCGCATTCTGTTTTCTCCTATTCATCCACATGGGTCATATTTCCAGTTCTGTGTCTTTCTGTTTAGTGTAGCATTGGTCCCCTTGTATTCTCATTCACATTATGCAGGCATTTGCCTGACTTCTTCATGTTCAGGGTCTACAGTCCATTTTATGTTGATGACAAGTTTCTCCTCGCCTGTTCCTATGCATAATCCTCCCAACTTCATTTCCCTTTGTTTTTGTAACTCTGATCTTTTTGGGATGGCCTGTCAATTTTCTTCATCCTTCCTCACCCGGACACTAGTTCTCATTCATCTGGTGACTCCCTTCAACTTGTATCGGCTGTGTTCAACCTTCTGCCATTTGCATACTAGACTTTTAATGTCCAGTTACCTTGTTTTTTACCTTGCATTTACTTTCTGTACTTGGGGTACTTTCTCTATGGGGCACCATGGCTCACCTGGGACTTCTCCTTCCATTTATGTGTCCCCTTTAGTGGATGTAGTATGACCAATGAAACCTTTTCTTTCCACCTCTCTTCTTCACTTTTGGAGGTTCTTGCTTGGTGACTAGACCTTTCTACCACCATCTCTGGTCTTCTCTTTCCTCTTTCCAATCCAGACCATCAATTATTTATGGATGCTTTTCTCTCAACATGGGGTACACCTCTGAATGATGATCTGACTTTGGGCTCATGGTCCCTGGAAGGGTGTTCTCTACTTATCAGGCCTTCAAGCATGCTGTCCATTAGTCATCCGTACAAATCTTTCCCCTCCTTATGAATCGATTAGTTCTGATTCATTTGGTCAGATCCACTGTCTTGTCTCATGTCAACTGCCAAGGGGACACATACTCCAAATCTCCCTGCTTCTTGACTTTGGACCTTCTCATTTATGCTAATTCCATTTTGACGAGTTTCATAACTGGTCATATTCCCGGTTCACAGAACAATGCTGCAGTCTGTCTTTGTTGACGAGACCATACCTTACTCACAGAATGGTGCATCCACTCACACGTCATAAGCCAAACTAAGAACACTGGTCTTGGACCTCAGTTTATAAATCAGCAGAAACTCCTTGATACTGAAAATTTGTACTTTATTGGTCTTAGTCATTATCTTAACTTTGAATTGACAGGTACATCACATTCACTTATGGCATAACTGAAAATATTAGACTTTACTAAAGGCTTAGCAAAAGAATGTTCTTTTATACAAGTTATTAATTTTCTTTTGGTAGAACCAATATAACCCTGCTGACAGCAAGGACAAGTAAATTTATATACAATAAAAGAACACTGCAAAATTCAAATTTGGTCTTTAAGTATAAAAATTAACTAAGGTGATAATTAGGCTTAAAAATGCACCTCAACCATATCTGCAGGTATACATTTGCAGTCTTCTTTTGCTGTGTATATATTGGTTATATTAGTTCTACCAAAAGAAAATTAAGAATTCGTATAACAGAACATGCTAACACTAGGTTGTTAGTTAAGCCTAAAATATTTAGACACACCTTAAATGTATGTGATACACCTGTCAATTCTAATTTGTTTAAGATCCTGGCTAGGGGCAATGATGAAAAGTCTGTATCAAGGAGTTTCTGCTAATTTATAAACTGAGGTATGAAGTTAGGGTTCTCAGTTTGGCTTATAACTTACTGGTAAACTTTTAAACTGTAACACACATTTCCATTAACCTACTCACAATTTATTACTCTGCAGAAAAATGCCACACCCCTTAAAACCTCTTCCTCTCTCTGGTCTCCTGTGTCTCATTCCTTAGCTCTAGCTGTTTGTGCTTTCAATCAGGTCTAGTACCATCATTTTCTTAGACATGTCCTTTTCTCAGCCTACTCCCTTCGATTGTTACTCTGGTTTAAACACCCCTTGCAGGATCCTATTGGTGGTCCCTCACTGGTAATCCCAACCTTAGCTTTTCTAATCCATATTCTCTCATCCATGCTCACTTCTTTCCCTTTCCTACAAACCATCCTTCATCTTCAATGTAGGATTTGTCTGGTCCTCTGGTCCTCAAACCATACCATCTTATTGTGTACCCTCCTATTGTCTCAATTTAGGCACTCTTCATCCTCTTCTGGGTACCACAGTACATGATGTTCATTTCTCTGTTGGCCTCCCCTTCAACATTTCCCCTCTGACCACCTTGCTTTATAATATATTCCCTCCTCTTTTGCATCTTTTCTACCATTTCTTGTCTATCTCCTTTACAAGCTATCTGGCAGCATTTCTACCACCTTCCATTTATCCCAGTGTCACAAGATAATTTCTTAACTTTTCCTTTCTACCCTTTTCTATTTCTTCTTTATCCACAGACCCCAACACCCTCCTCTTAGCCTGACTGGTATCTCACTGTGGTTCTCCAAGCTTTTACCTTAGTCCCTCTCGATCCTATAAAAACTTGTTTGATGTATCATCTCTTCCTGAACACTTCCTCCTTGTATGTAGTCACAGTCATTTTAGCCTTCCAATCACAGTCCCTTTCATTCCTTGGGTCCCCTCCTATACCTGGGTTCTCTCTCCTTCCACCCTTCAGAATGGATCTGTCTGATCATCTGTTCAGTCTGTATCTCCTTGGGGTGGATGGACGTAAACTCTTAGAGTCTCTTCTCACCAGATTCACCACCTTCCACTTTCCCTGGCTACTTATTTTCACCAACTTTTTTATGCTATTCTCCAGGCTGACATTTAAACTATCACTCACCTCTTCATCACAAACTATCTGCTCCACCTGGTTTTCTTGTCTCTTCAGGTATTTCACTTTCTCCTACAGCCCTTCTCCAATCCTCTCTCCTTATCTATGGGCAGATGAGTGTACAAAATTTTGTTTTTACCTTGCAATCACTAAGGATCCCACTAAGTAGTCAATGTTGCCTTCCAGGGTATACTTACCCAAAATATGCATCAGGCCAGGATAGCAGAAATCACTTTTTCTATACATCCTGGCTCTACAAGCACCCACTGTGAGATGGGGTGCTCTACAAGACCACTTGAGGTTTCCATGTGGTATCTCTTATGAATATCTACTCCAGGATGTACCTATTCGATGGACTTTCATGGAAAAATCTGTGCCAGAGTGATGTTTCTGATACTTCTCTGGATAGTGTTGCTGGCTTTTAAGAATAGGGTTTCACGGTCACCTGCTGCACGGTCTCCAGTCAAAGATCTTTCTGGACTGAGAGACCGATGGAGATCTGGACACATTTTCTGGGTCTCCCCTTCTCTTTGAGTGGAGCACAGGAGACCCTTACCACTTACCAACTACCATCTGCTGGGGTGGTGGACCATGAAGAATCCTCATCGATTGGGATCTAACTGCTGGGGTTAGAACAAGGGGTCTCTCTATGATGAGAAGTGGGGTTGGGGTGATACTGGAATATAGTGCGAGCCACTCCATATTTGTAACTGTGATGCATCACAATCTATAAGTGGACCAATGGTGCCATTCTCACTTGTCCATTCCACATCATACTCCCACAGCCAGTGGGTGGCCCATAGAGACTGACAGTAGAGTTGAGGTGAACACTTCATATGCACCAGTGATCTATCACTTACAACATACTTTACTCCCACAGCAAGCCAGGGGCCTGTAATGAATGATGGTTAAGTAGAGGTTTATGTAAGTGTTCATACAGACACGATTCCATTCAGTGCCCTCCTTCCACAGCTGTGGAACCTATAGAGTCTGATGGGAAAGGAAGTGAGCACGGATACTTATCACAAGTGCTCTTCACCCACAGATGGTTTGGACCTGTTGAGTTTGATGTTAGAGGAGGTGATCACACAAGGTACAGTCTGAATGTGCCCCAGACTCAATACACATGTCAGCTGCCAGACAGCTTCTGTGCAAGTTCTTGGATGGCCATGTACCTATTCTTCCCGTCCTTGTGACACACATCTGGTTTTCCTGCTTCTTCTATTTTGCTACACAGACAAAGAATATACCCTGCATGAGATAAGATGTGGTATTCCAAAGGTGTTCTCCTATGGAGCCCCTGCCATCAGGTGTCACACCCCATGAGCTTCTTTTGGACACTTTCTGAAGAGTGCTTACCTACGTAATATTTGCACCAGTCCCTCCACCTTCTCAGTGTGAGGTTCTAGCTATTCTATATGTGTAGGTGAGGTATCAGTTTGGAAGTTAACATTTTTGTATTTCCGATAGATACTGACCTCCACACATGTTAGATAGATAGATAAACATGTTGTTTCAAAAGTTTTGTTGTTCTTGTTCCTGCTTTCCCAAAAAGGTGGGAACCACTGTTCTAGGTTATGATATAGATGTTTAGAGCTCATTTGTGAGCATTGTTTCAAAAGTAGATATATATACACTACTCTGTAAGCTAGCAATAATAATTCTGTGTTCACGTCAAAATTAAATTAAACCTAAAAAATTTTAAAATACAGTGATATTGAATAAGTTTTTTTCACATGGGTTGACTTATGACATAAACTAGGTTTCCTGTCTTTTTAGATTGTGGACAGGTAGGAGGTAATCCTAGCAGGTCAATGGTGTGAAAGGCCACCGGGTACAAGTTAGTAGAAAAAAATTATAACAAATAACACATAGCAAGAGTGTTATGATGGATTGGTGTATTTGTCCCCTTCTGAAGTTGAACGTATTCACAAAGAACTGTTTATAAACTATATTTACTTGCATACTTTCATTCAAAGTAAATTATGTAACCCAACCTTTATATTCTAAATGTAAAAGTTTAAATTAATATAGGAAATTTAGAAATTAATGCAGATGTAATTTTTTGGAAGATTGTAACTAAGTTTTCATTAGTTAATGCATTATTATAAAACTTTTTTTTATAAAAAATTACCAAAAATTTATAAAATTACACCTTCCTTATCTGTAAAGGTCAAAAGTGAATTCACCAGTCATTGTAGCAAACCATCTTATATAGCTGTGTAAAAAGCCTCTTGTAACAAGGTAACGTTATTTGTAGAAATTGTTACCCTGTGATGATTTTAACCTTCATGTAATCACCATCACATTTTACTCTGTTGGAAAAAGTTATGTGCAAGTGTTAACTATCTTTGATAATGAAATTTGTATCTTTTGCTTTGGAAAACAGTATTTTGTTTCCTCCTGTCCAAATTTCAGGATGAAAGATAAATTTCTGATGTAGATAAAAGACATGAGGTAAAAAAATATCCTATTCAGTACTCTCAACTGAAATTTAATGATGACTTTTCAAAGTATGAACTATTATTTGATGTTTTCAAAATTTCATACAAAATGGTGTCAGCTAGAGCGAGTTACCTCATTCACAGAATATATAAATAGAAAAATGGATTTTAAAGTTTCTGCTGACAATATACTTCAGTGGTGAAAACTCCTTTTCATTGTTATTGTTTATATTATTTCTTATTTCTGTGATTGAAATTCCTGTTATCAGTTCACTGGAAAAAAGATAATAATCTAAGTTTTATTGAAAAAAATTAAAAACTTATTTCAAATCACATGTGGATTTCTTATCTTTTGTAACCAGAAATAAACATTTTTTTTTTCCCTTCCAAGCTTGTACATGATATAAAAAACATCTTGCTTGGAAACATAACACACAAAATGTTTACTTCATTTCATCATATGTTTTGTAATGATGAAAAATAAATAATAATTTTCCTTCTAATCTTGTTATATTGATTCCATAAATATCTGATACATAAACATTACAGTATGCCCAATTCATTTTATCAAAACATTACCAAAGTTTTGCCAATAAAATAATTATAAAGAAGACAAGCCATAATATCTTAAAAAAAAATGTTTAATTCTAACTTTGCAACATCAGCCCATGTGGCTATGTATATGATGGGTTATTTTATGACTTAAAAAAGTAAAGGGAAGACAATATTTTTAGTGATTTTTCATAACTTAGCAATTTGAGTCTGGCATGGCCAGGTGGTTAGGGCTCTCAACTCGCAACATGCGGGTCGCGGGTGTGAATCCCCGTCACACCAAACATGCTCGCCTTTTCAGCCATGGGGACATTATAATGTGATGGTCAATCCCACTATTCGTTGGTAAAAGAGTAGCCCAAGAGTTGGTGTGGGTGGTAATGACTAGCTGCTTTCCCTCTAGTCTTACATTGCTAAATTAGGGACGGCTAGTGCAGATAGCCCTCGTGTAGCTTTGCGCGAAATTCAAAACAAACAATTATTAGCAATTTATTCTAGTCATTTGTTATAATCAGTTATTTCATAAACTTGCTGATAACTTCTCTTTTAAATTGATTTTTTAAAATAGCTTATGATAAATGCAAATTATGTAAAATATTTATTTATAAACTTTGACTCTTAACATTGTACAGTTTTATAGCTATTAATGCAAATGTTTGATTGAAGTTTCCAAATATTTTTTATTTGTTCTCATTTTTATTTGATAAGCACATAAAGTTGGTATCCTGTATTCAGTGTCACGTAAATTTGCAAATGCAAAGTTGAAACCTGAACAAAAGTATAAAATTTGATTTGTGAATCCAACAAATAGAATTGTTTGAGCCCTGTTGGACAAGATTATTATTGATTTCCTTTTAATTTTCAACAAAGAAAGCTTCAATGGTACAATTTTCATTGTGCTACCAATATCAATACTAAAAGTTGTTTGTTCTTTTTATATACATACATAGCTTATGTTTGATTTGGAGATGAAAGTTTGTTTGTACTTAAACACAAAGCTACACTAGGGTTTATCTGTGCTCTGCCCACCACAGATATTTAAACCAAGTTTCTATCACTGTAAGTCTGCAGACATACCTCTGTGTCACTGTAGCATGATGATAGATAGTCTTAGTAGCTTTTCCATAAACAAACCAAACAATTCTTACAGCTTCCACTATATCTGAAAGTTGGTGGAGGCCTCTATTCAGATGGATGCCACTTTGTGTAATAAAGTTTGTGCATTAAGTTGCTATGCTTAGATATAATTGTTGTAAAGCAGCAACTGTTTCTAGTTTAAAACTTATTGACTTAATTGGTATAAGTTTACTAATTATGTAGTTAAACTTTATTAAGTAATATTCATGATCCACAGTACTAGTACTAAATTTGGAAAGTTTTAGTTAAAATGTTTGAGAAAACTGCTGGTTACCCTTTGTTTTTGCTGTCTTCTTTCTATACAGACTACAATTTACAACTTGGGAATAGATGGTTCCTTGTTCTGCCTTTAAGGTTATCTCTGCACACCTTTATCCAAGTAAAAAAAAAAGAAGAAATTAAACTCATCTTTTATTTTTCAGAAAACTTACAATATCTTTTTTAAACTGCCATAAGATTCCAGCCATTCTATAAGCTAATCATCCCTACTTGTCTTTTTCCAAAACGTAAATTTATGTCCTGTCATTCTACGGTAATCATAATTTAGTACAAAGAAATTAGAATCCTTTTATCCTATGATACCCTTGAGGATAATCTTCAATAATAACACCTTATACTATTCTTTCTTCAAGAGAGAGATACAAGATAAAGATAAGAGGTCTTTAATCACATCCTATTGCTATTAAGTTAGCTTAAAATTTAGCCTTTTTTAAATCATCTTGTTTTAATTGTTCTTTTGGACCTGTCAGAATTAGGCATTTTTCTCAGGATAGCAAACACTAAGATAAAAACGGTTATACTATTGTTATGACATTTTTATTTCTTTGTTGGTTCTTTCAAATTACACAAGCGTGCGAATTTAAACTTCATAAAAGTGTTTTGGTTTTAATAACGGATTTTCCATAATTCAGCTACGCAGATTTCGAAAATAATATTCATTTTTTTTTTTTCTATCGCGTACGGATATTTTACAAATCGGGAAGAAAACAAACTCTTACTTAGATCAAATTATTATTTCGTTTACCACAATGAACATTTTTATTATTATGTTTGTTAACAAAAATACAAATAAACTGAAGATAAGGGAAGAAAACTGATGTCAAACGAATATGCATCCTCAATTATCCTGATTTTTTGTGTGAGAAATCTACGTCTTTTAGTCTCAAAACTAGGTGTTGTGGTCTGTCTTTTATATATTGCGTTATGACGTATTGTGAACAATTTGTACGTGATGGAGAAAAATGGATATCATTTTCGTGTTCAGCGTACAGGAATTATTGTAGAACATGTAAAAATTTCAAGACAATAATACCATCGCAGGCCAGTGTTATTTTTCATGAGAGAACTGGAATAACCAGAAACACTACTTTAGATTAGTTTATTATTTTTGCTAGTCATGACACTAATTGAATAAGATGAACAACTTTGAGTTAATTGAAAATGATGAGAAATCATAATGACAATATTTCAGTTACTTGAATCGAAAACTAATAATTGTAAACACTAATTTTGATTAGTTGATTATTTTCATAGAATTAATCATAATTTCAATTAATTGATTATTTTATGTGTTACGAATAAATGTAATCAGTACTTACAGGTAATTATCCAGCTCTAGCTCTGTACCCTTATGAATATGTCGTCAATCTTTCTTAGGTAAAAGTGACAAAACCTGTGCACAATATTCAGGTGAAGCGTAGCTAGTAATTTGTATAAAGAGAGAATTCTATTGAATTGTAATAGGCACGTCTATAAACTTACATTAAATCCTATTCGCTTTGCAACTAGAAACTGAGCACTTCGTCGTTTGCTTGTGTAACTTATCTGCCAGCACTGTGCCAAAATCATTTTCTGCAGTCATGTTATTAAGTGAATTCTCATATTATGCACGTGAACCAAATTAAATCCCAAGTACATTACCTAGCACTTGCTATAATTAAAGGCCATTTGTTCATTTCAGCAAATGATCAAAATCATTCTGTAAAACCCAATTTACCTCAAAACAGTTAGATGTTCCCAAGTGCTCTAAAGCCTTCTAGACAATGTTATTTAGTTAGTAATAAAGTAAACAGGATTTTAGGTTGTGTACGTAGAAATATTTCGGACAAGTCAGACAATGACTTCGTTTGCTTTCTTTACGGTAATGGTTAGACCATGTTTGAATATTTTGTTTGTTTATTATGAATTTCGCGGAAAGCTACACGAGCGCCATCTGCACTAGCTGTCCCTAATTTATCAGTGTAAGACTTGAGGGAAGGCAGCTAGTCATCACCATCCACCGCCAACTCTTGGGCTACTCTTTTACCAACGAATAGTGGGATTGTCCGTCACTTTATAACGCCCCCACGGCTGAAAGGGCGAGCTTGTTTGGTGTGACGGGGTTTTGAACCCGCAAATTGCTGGTCGAACGCTCCAACCACCTGGCCATGCCGGGCCTTGAATATTTTGTTTGGGTTTTATATCCTTAGTTAATAAAAGATTTTGAACTGTTGAAGAGGTTTCATATAAGAGCTGTATATAAGACAGACACTAAGATTACAGTTCGCGTGTTTATTATATCAAAAACTGGGACACAACTTCTCTTGTTAATTTTGCAATAGGTTTATGGAATAGGTTTACATCAAGAGTGTTTGGTACTTCACCATTGATGATTAAGAGGAGATTGGATAAATATTTTTAGAGATCAGGTTGGATATAGGAAAAGGGGATTTCTATATGTAGCGTGGGTAGGTTAGCTTAGATGTGTCAAGTGGATTCTTGCTAAGTAAAATGAAATTTAAGTTGTGTACTTTTCCATTCATATCCTCTTGTTTGAATAATAACAGCTGGTGACTTGCAAGAAAATGTTACTAAGAACATATCAGCTTGAGATAGATTCGAATTGAATTAAAGAATAGGGAGACTAAAGATACACAAGTGATTGGATTTGTTTTAGTGTATCGGTGTAGGATGGATAATAATTCTGAAACCGTATATCACAAGAGCTATGTAATATGGCTTTCTGAAAGAGATAAATAGACATGTGAAAATGTTGTTTTGAAAGGTTACTGGTTGCTATTTGATTAATATAAAAGTAACGGTTATTCCAGCCCATGCACTAAATGTATTCAGTTCCCAGTGTAACGTTTACTCCAGAAAAAACTCTCGGGGGATTGATTATGCACTGCGAAAAAAAAAAGAAAGAAAAACTAGTGAAAATTATTTCTAACTTTATGGATTAAATTAGATTAATCACATTACAAAAAAAAAAAAGGCAGAAAAATTATGACGTTTTGAGGCGAAAAATTTGTCTTATCGCATCATCTATATACTATTTTTATATTTCGAGGTAACATTTGAAATCTAGTAGTGGCGATACTCGTTGGATTGATTACGCAGCATAATTTTAACATTGCAACCTACCTTTACTTTATTGTGGAAACCACTATACTCTCACCTTCACAATGTCCTAGGCAACCTTTTTTATAGTATGATTATTTTATACTTCTATACTACTTAGCTTGTTCTTTAGTTTTGGCCATAGACCGGTAAGTAACTTGGTTTGTAACAAGAATATACGGATGCTTGTATAATTATTCGACATTTTTAAAACTTATTCTTTATGGAATGAGGAGATGCGGGTCTACCCGATGACTATGTTATTG